ACTGGGCAGCCCCCACTGCAGCACAGTGGGCAGCCCCGCTGGGGCACTCCAAGGTCCCTCTTCGAGCAGTCCCATTGGGGTGTTCTGGGCTCCTGGCCCTGGTAGGCAGCCTAGCTGAGCAGCCCCACTGCAGCACACCGGGCTCCCAGCCCCCCTGGGCAGCCTCTTTGGGGTGCTCCCAGGCAGCCCTTCTGGAGCACGCTGGGCTCCTGGCCCCATTGGGCAACCCAGCTGAGCAGCCCCACTGTGGCGCTTGGGTGTGCCTGGCAGCCCAGCTGTGGGGTGCCAGGCTCCTGGCCCTATGGCAGCTCACTGCCACCAGCTCCCAGGACTCTTAGGGCACTAATGCTCCACCAGGTGCATCCGTGGGTTGCTGGATAAGAGAGTGTCGGTTTACACTGACTACATACAGTATCTGAAAGAATCAGGTACTGTAGAATATAATATTGCCAAACCCAAATGTTCAAAATTAAAAGTCAAGTTCAGGAAGATCACGAGAGTGGCTTAAAAATCATTATTTAAAAAATGAATTTGGAGCTATTTATATTCTAGTTTCTGAGCTTTAGGGTATGCTTGGTTCACATTTCCAGGCTTACTTTTTTAAATGAAAGCTGAGATGCTCAAATAATTTGATTCCAAGAGCTGGGGCTTTAAGAAAAATGTAAAGCATTGTGAGACATAGAGCCCTGCTTGGAAATAAAATTTGTGTCTGCGTTTGAACCACGATCTGCAAAAATGATCCAGGATATAAAGCAAATATCCATAGATTTGCAGGGCTCTAGTGATAAAATCACAGAGTGGGCAAAATTGGCGATGCTGACTCTGACTTTAAAAAAAAAAATGGTGGGGAACAGAAAAAATAATTTAAAAGAAAATGTGTAAGATTACTGAGAAAGATACATGAATGTCCATGAATTTGATTTTTTGATCTAGAATTGCATTTATATATGTAAGAAAAGAATACAAAACCACTGCATGATAATTTTGTTAGCTTGCATTATTATCCAGTTGTTTCTGGGTGAGCTTGACTGACTTGGAATTTTTATGTTGCGTGCTTTCCCTAAAACATGCAACTATGAGAAACAGAAACGAAAAAGATGGAAATAAAAGTGTATTGTGTGGTATTGTTTCTTTTCAAATGGCCACAACTCCAGTAGCATAACAACATTCTCTGTTTCATAGCAGGAGGTGTATTAGAGCTTACTGCAGATTGATATTGGAATATTTAAACAGATAATATCAGTGCAGACTAGTGGCTTTCCTTCTGTCTCCTGTTTTGAAACCTGTCCGAACATAATTTCCAGTGGGAGAGTAGAATTATTAGCACTTTGTCTTTTCAATAATCCTAAATATAAACAAAAATGTACAGAGTTCTAGATTGGTTGGTCTGAGGCACAGAAGTCATATTTAGCATTTGAATGGTTCTTAGTCACACTTTACATTGATAGGAAGGGAAAATGGTTAGGACCATTTCCAAAATGTATTGTCTCTTTGATTATATGTAATGGGGTTCAGTTCAACACTGTGGCACCTTCTGCTTGTCCTGCTGGGAATTAGCAAAGTTCTGGTGCCGCCTTCTGATTGGTGTCTTGCCCATTGTCACTCTGCTATCCTGTCTCCACCCTCAAACCATGTTGCTTCAGGACACTGCCCTCTGGCATAAGAATGGGAATGGTTAACTGGGTAAGCATCACCCTTACTGCAGCAGGAGGGTCACTACAGCCCACCCCCATTTAAGCAGTTAACCAGTTAAAATGCGACTATACATCTCTACTCCAGCAGTGCTCACCACTCTGCTCTTCCCCTTTCTAGGGGTTTTAGCAGTCTTCAGTCCATGCACTTGCTATCATAGCCAACTGCAGCCCCAATTCTAGCTCCTTGTCTTAGGTAAACTGCAGTGTATATTGACCTTGCTCCAGTGTGGCAATTTGTGGTGCAAGTGGGAAGGGGGGGAAGATCCAGGTCTGCCCAATACTCTGGCCCCAGACCCAGGGACCCTCTAGCAGCAGCTTTTTCTGCCCTTCTCTCCCCCGTCTGCTCGCACTCCCTTGGCCACTTCCCCAGGACCCTTACACCCACTCAGCTCTTATTTTAAGGCCCACAGTCTGTCAGTGGTTGGTCAGAGGTCTCGCTTCCCTGCTACCCTGCCTAGGGATGTAAGCAACTAGTCGACTCTCTTAGAAGCATAAGCTAATTGGATAATCGAGCAGTAACTCAACTAGTTGCTTCCTCCACCCTTTGCTGCCTTTCTCAGAAGCAGCAAGGGGAGGAGCAGGAGCTCGTGCCCTCCAGCACCGTCTCTGTGGGGGGCAGCGGAGGCAGAGGCACAGTGGGGAAACGTCGCGTAGAGGGACTGAAGCAGTTCTTGTTTGTGCCAGTTCCCACTGCAGGCGCTTTTTCCTTTTAAATGTAGCAAGGGCCCCAAGGAGTTCTTGCTACAATTCAAAAGCAGAAGAGCCAGAGTGGGTACTTCCCAATGCTCCCCAGCTGACAGCAGCAAACAGGGGCTTCTGGACTCAGCACAAGCCGGGACCAATCAGTCCCAGCTTGTGCGGATGCTGCATCTCTGCATTTTAAATGTAGTAAGATCCTAGTGGCTCTTATTACATTTAAAATGCAGCACTGCAGTGCAGGTGGCTCCCAGAGCTACCCCCCGCTGCGGCTCCTATTGACTAATCTATACGATTAGCTCGGTAACGGCAATTTAACATCCATAACCCTGTTCAGCATCATTTTGTTGTGTGTGGCCTTTTTTTTTCTGTGTGCCTGTCCTTCTCCCTTCCTGGCCAGAGTGAGCACCTTTCAGCCCTGCTGCCTTTTATAGGGTCCAGCTTGGCCCTCATTGGCTTGTTTTGCACTCCTCTGATTGGCCAGGTTTGCACAGGGTCCCTTCAGCCTGCTTTTAACCCTTTCCTTGTTGGAGTGGGGCAACCGCTACATCATCTAGAAGTGGGCAGCTTCAATATCAATAATGTTTTTAAAAACACAATATTTGATACTATTCTGTATCTTGAGGCACTGGTATATGCAACCTAATAGTTAAGATTCTCAGGAAGAAGTATTTTTTTCCTGAACTAAAAATGTAATTCTTCTAATCTGTATGATTATAATGCTTTCCTTCTTTTTGTTGTCATCTAAGATGTGAATTTGTCCTATGAAAAAATATATTTGCAGAGTGACTAATGTATTGGTGATTAAATAGAAATTTCTTTTTGGTACTGAATGAAGTAGCTTGGGAGACTTCAGCAGGGCTTTGTACACAAATCTGGCTTAAAAAATTTCAGAGAAGAAATGACCTTTTTAATATCAAACTTAGTTAACTGAGGAAGAAATATGATTAATTTCTGAGTGCAACTTCTAATTTCACCTTGGTAGTCTTCTTTAACAACTTATTACAGTGACATACCATTAATCTAATATAGTAGCCAGTGTCTGTGATGCTGACATACACGGCTATGCCTCCTGGCCATGTACGTCAACACCCCGCCCCCTCTCCCGTCCCTCCCTGGCGGTCCAGCTGAGCGCTGCACCACTCAGCTGGGTCCTGGCGGGGGAGCAAGTGGCAGCAAGCGGCCCTTTGGGCTCAGTGGGGCCCGGGGCGGCAAGCAGCCCTTTGGGGTCTGCGTTCCCCACGCATGGGGAGTGCAGACCCCAAACTGCCGCTTGCCGCCGCTTGCTCCCTCGCCGTGGGCCAGGCGGATGGCGGCGGCGCCGGGGCGCA